TCTGAAAGGTCAGCAGATCTTACCTGCGTGGGCGAGCGGACGGGTCACTTCATTCCCACCGCCATTAAGATCTCCATTTGTGGCTATAGCTTCCTTTACGGCTATAATTTGCCTCATGTGTTATCAAATAGATAGGACAGGGTCTCCATCCAAACTGCATTATCATGCAGCACAGATAGCGTCTGCAAAGCTGAGTGGCTCCTTCAATCAATGCTATTGGCCGCTAAGATACGTCGAGCCTTGCCAAAGTGCTCTCACAGCGCAAACATATGACACAATATAAAAGTTTTAAGATTATTGCCATCAGAAAACAACCTTGAGTGGGATCTAACAATTACTACTTTTTCTTAATGAGGTTTTTGTGCTAGTAGACTAAAATAAAAGTTGCATGATTATTTTATTTTACAGCACAAAGGGCCCTTAAAACATATTTTTTGTTGTTGACAACAGCCTGTTTATATAAGCACTAACAATTACTAAATGTTCTTAATGAGTTTTTTTGTGCTAGTAGACTAAATAAGTCTGATATAAGGGTTGCATGATTTTGGGAAATATTTAGTAAAAATTGTGATTTTGATTTAATTGACTATAAAATAATAATATTAATAATAACAACAACAACAATATAATTAATAATAGTAATTAATAATTGCATTAAATAAATATGTCAATATGACACGTGTACATGAACATAATTGTTTTATAACGTAATATGATTTATAATTCATCTCCATGTAAAAATGCCAAGACTTTCACATTGTATGTTCTATAAATACACAAGCCTTTAATGTCAGATAGGCATGTTTGTCTGGGTAAGAAACATTAAACCGTGACCTATGAACTTAAACTTATAGTTCAGTCTTATAAACAGCTGCGTGATTTGTTGAGTCTACATTCCCTCTCACACAGAGGTCACTCAAGGAGTGTTGCTGCATTTCGGAGTGGGCCCGCATGGGAAAGCAGATCACGTGCATCTTTGCTTGCATTACAAACTGTGCACCATCTTAAGTCCTCCGTGATGAGGGGCTTCAGCTCCAGCCAAGATGAGCTTTGGTTAAGGTTAAAGTTGGTTGTGCCACAGATCAGCTGACAGCCCTAACACAATCACAACAAAAAGTGCCAAAAAGTTAATAAATACAGTCCCAGCATTAAAGGAACACTCCACTATTTTTGAAAATAGGCTCATTTTCCAACTCCCCTAGAGTTAAACAGTTGAGTTTTACCGTTTTCGAATCCATTCAGCCGATCTCCGGGTCTGGCGGTAGCACTTTTAGCTGTAGCTTAGCATAGATCATTGAATCTGATTAGACCGTTAGCATCTCGCTCAAAAATGACCAAAGAGTTATAATCAAGGAACTTTGCTGGCGCAATGATATTACGCAGTGCCTGAAAATAGTCCCCAGCTAGGTATCTTCCAATAAGCCTATTTTCAGGCGCTGTGTAATATCATTGAGCTGCTGCACCCATGGTACGGCAGCAAAGTTCCTTGATTATTACGCCGGAATGAGAGTATAGTTCCTAGCCATATCGGCCTACAAAATCGCAACTTTTCATTTTCCGTCGGCCTTAGTACACGATGTAACTACAGAAGAGTCAAGTTTTAAATAAGAAAAATATAGAAACTCTTTGGTCATTTTTGAGCGAGATGCTAACGGTCTAATCAGATTCAATGATCTATGCTAAGCTACAGCTAAAAGTGCTACCGCCAGACCCGGAGATCGGCTGAATGGATTCGAAAACGGTAAAACTCAACTGTTTAACTCTACGGGAGTTGGAAAATGAGCCTATTTTCAAAAATAGTGGAGTGTTCCTTTAAGCCGGACAAAGCTATGGTGTCTACTTCTACAGCGCAGCTTTTGACAGGTCAGCTTACACAAGCAGTTCTATGCTGACCGTCCTTGGCAGCAAGAGGATTCCTGATTGTGCCGGGAAAAAAAAGTCTTCCTTGATATTGAATAAGGATCCGTTTCCAATCCCTCAGCCCATTCATACATACATAACATCTTTATCAGTATTTTTGTCTTGCTTTACAGTGAAATATTTTAAAACCATTATCTTAAAAAAAGATGAAACAATTTTGAGAAATTAATACAATATTTACTCAATTTTAATAATATAACCTTTACCAGTGATTATTTCATATAATTATTTTTCATATGCCATTTTTTTTTCTTTTTAACAAATCTCACTATATTTTAAATGTTATGCTTAAAACAAGGAAATACTATTTGTCATTATATATTAAGTAATAATTCATTTTAAGTTAAATTCAATTCAAAGACATTCTCTGAAAATATTTTCATATTTTTATGCAATTCCGCTTAAGTAAATCTCTCTTGTTTTAAAAATAACAATTTTTACTAAAAAACACAAATTCTGAGACATTCATACTAACATAAAATGTATTTACTATTAATAAAATAACATTAACTTAATATTTACTTTAATATATTAATATCTTAATCTAACATTATTTAATTAGGACATTAAGCCTATTTTCAGTTAATATATATCTAACATCTCTTTTCTTACCACACTGGCATTTTGTTCTTGTTTTAACCATAAATACCTCAAAATTATGTTAGTTTTATGCTTAAAACAACCAACCAACCAAATAAATAAATAAAAAAATCCCAGAGGGGTAGGAATAATAAACTCTAAAAACATCTTAATATCAAGTAATTTAATCTTGTTTAAAGCATGTTCAGATATTATTACTGGAAAATAAGAAGAAAAAAAAAAGACATTTTTTTGCAGTGCCCCCAAAATAGCCAATAAATTCAATTGTGGAAATTAGGTTTACTGCAGACTTCTAAAACCCCTACTGCTTTGCTCATCCTCCCTTCTCTCTCTAATACGAACACAAACAGACATCTAATGCAGAGAGCTAGAATAGAGGTGTTAGGTTTGCTTGCTCTCCCATAAGGAAATGCTTCATGGTATGTAATGCTGTGAGGGATTTAATATATCTAATTACCATACCATTTCCCCATGGCTCATCAGCTGAGACGGAGAGTATGGCCAGAGCATGATTTGATGTAATGTGAGAGACGCACCTCCCACAGGAGAGAGAGAGGAAGGGCCGCTGCGGTCCCCAACTGCTCCAACAGGGGGAGCCATAGAGGGATCCTGCTGACAAAGCAGCTATTTTTAGACCATTGAATAGAGAAATTTATTTATAGAGCTTTGAGTTCTGTCACATAGAGGAAGCAGTAGCTGTAGGGGTTCAGTGCATCAAAGCTCTGCTGACAAGCAGCTCTTAACGGAAGCAGGAGCGATTGACGGCCGCAGCATCTCTGCTCTGCCTGCAGCGTGACCAAACACAGTCATCATCAGCCCCGCCGTGACATTTGCACATTCTCAGAGGAATAGCTGAACTCGGGCTAAAAGCAGCCTCAAACTCAATGCACATCTCCAAAATAAAGCTCTGCAGCAGATGGAAATTCTCCGCCTCGTTCACGTCAGTGTTTTAATCTGCTGGGCATAAATAGAGCACTCAGAGGTCAGGCGGAAGCCTTCAGCCAAAGCTGCTTGCTGCTTTTGACGAACAATTTCTGGTCACGCGTCTCAGAATAACAGAAGTGTGAAAATATGAGATGGATTGCAGCAGGTCTGATGGGTTAATTCAGGACTGAATCGGTTTAATGACATTTGGAATAAATAAAATTAATATCTCTTTCAAAGCGACATGTACAGATGATGCAATATTCAGGGGTTGGTACCACCAGGAGGACAGCAGCCGGGAGATGAACTGCCTCTCACTGGATCCCTGTTAAGGCGATTGTGAGGATCAGATGAATAATATATGACTCTGTTTGGAGGATTAGCCCAACGGTGAGTAAGTTAGCAATGACAGTCTTCACGAGGATGCTCTGGTGCCTCTAGTGGACAGCAGATGCAATTGCAGGCAGACAGCTGTCTATGACGGACAATGCAGCAAATCATCTGCACTCTTGAATCTTTCGATATGGGTTGAGTTCTTCATCACAGAGGTTATGAGGTCACAATACAAACACAATGCAGCAGCCAGAGCTGAATCTGCATGCAAGCGTTAGGAGTAGCTTAAAGATTCAACATCGTTACAGTGTCTTCAACATCCACCACACAGCGGCTCCAAAGAGTATTTGGACTCTTAAGACACAATTAAAAATGTATGAACGCCATTGCATAAATAAGTAAATATCAATCCAACCAGCATCTGCAAGCAAATCATAACCATAGGTGTATTTCATCACATTAACTATGAACTACTAACGTTTGTCATGCGTGACTGATATAGATATTCTCAAAGCTGATATTTTGAGAGCCTTTAAATTTATAATTATTTTAGGTAATACTTACAAAATTAGAAAAAAAGTAATCAATATGAAAAAAAAATGAAACAAAAAAAAAACTTAATCGAACAAAGTAAATCTGTAAAATAAGATTTATACTTCATATAGCAACTTCTTGATTCTGCAATCAAATTACATTATTTTTCATTAAAAAAAAAGAAAAAAAAAAAGTAAACACTAATCAACAGTGCACTCAGTAATCTTGTAAGTTTGTGTGCACTTGGAATCCTATTTTAACAAATAAAGACCAGCTAATGCCAATTTCATATAAAGTGCACAATGAATATGACATAGTAGTCAACTGGATATAGCGCAGCATAGCTTGAAATCAAGAATTTAAAGTTTGTCCTCCACATCCAGTTTGGAGAACAGGAGCTTTTATGTGTCTGGTGTGGTGTTTTCATCACTGTCAAAATAAAAGTCTTCCAACACTTATTAAATCAAACATAAAAAATGTCAAATATCGGCTGCTATTGGAATTATGTTGTCCAGACCATTTTTTTGCCTTAATTTGGAGCAGTATATCTATCGTTTAATAATTTTGAATTCATCAAACTTTTGTGAAAAGTTCTGCTTTTAAAAATGTGTTGGGAGCATTTAAAAAAATTAAATAAAAAAATAAAAAATGTCAGTTGGATTGATATTTTGTTATCTATGCATTAATGACATGCATACATTTGAAGCATGTCCAAGTGTCCAAATACTTTTTAGATCCACTGTACAATTTGTAATAACTAAAAACCATCAAGTATTATTAAAATGGTGCACAAGCAAGAATTCTGTAAGAATGTTTTGAAAGATCTTGTCTTCAAGTCTGCATGTTAATCATCTCAAAAGGCTGGAAACCAGTGCAAAAGAGGTCTGACTCATAAAATGAGATCCATTCTCAGCAGTAAAAATCCAAATATTCTCCATTTCTTATAGCAAAGTAGTACCAGGCCCGCCAAAAGAGTCATTCCAGTGGACAGCTGAGGTGTGGATCCAAGTGGTAATTGTAGGAAACAGCACACTCCACCAGCAGCCATGTGCTACAACAGCATGTCTGCTGCCCCTGCAGCACTTCTCTCATTGGATAAAACGATCTCCACCAGTAACAGCCCCAGGCAAAAAGCTGAGATCAAGTATATGGATGACCACTCCACAGCAGGGCCCAAGCACCACTCCAGTACATACACCAGTCAAATGACGCATCAAACAGCAGCCATCCGCCCCCTCATGCATGAAGAGCCCTTCAGGGAAAGTGTTTCTCATGGTCTGTGTGTGTTTGGATACTGGCTAGCAGTCGTATCAGCAGCAGATGATGTGCTCTCGAGGATATTCTAGCGATAAGGGAAGGTAGGTGAGGCGATCACAGAGGGGAGGATGGCGAGGTAGTTAGAGGGGACGTAGCCTCTCTGGCCACGCGCCTCCACCAGACTCCATTCCTTGTTTCCACGCTTATCATGAGGCTCCACCACCTGCACTGGCTCGCCGGCCCTCAGAGAAAGCTCGTGAGTGCTCCTCGCAGTGAAGTCATAGCCCGCATACACCTGCAGATGGAGAACGGAGAGTTTCAGTGTGCTTGGTAATGGGAAAAGTTGCCTTCTGTGAGATTTTGCCCTTATAAAAACTAGATGAAAAGACCGACAGTGCATAAAATTCAAGAACACAGTTTGTTATTGCCAAAACCCACACAAATAGCGAAACTGAAACAACAAATCTGTCTAGAGAACGAATGTGCTTTGTGAGTGCTCGGTTGACTATATCTTTTTAGATTTGAAAGTTAAGTGGTATTCAATGTTGCACAATGTGCTTGAGACATTTTCAAGTGTTAAGAGTGGGCTGTTTATTTTAACTCATAAGGAAATTAAAGTTGTCAGTGGGTTTTGAGACAGAAAAAGAGCTCAAAAAAATCTGAAACGATATATTAGTTGAAGTGCTCCGCCTTGTGGTTAATGTCAGTAATGCCTTATGAATCATGTTCATTAGTGGCATTTCTTTTTAAGAATAGCATCACTATTGATCATATTGGCTCATAGGGTTTTAAACAAACCCCTAACCTGAAATGTTAAAGTCACGGCAAAATTAAAGCTGCAATCAAACAGAAGTAGCAGCAGATATTTTCTTCTGTATTGTGACGTGCATTTGAGTGTAATGGATTATCAAGAAATAAAAAAAGTATGATGGAATTGGTTCTGTGCAACGGTTGAATGGAAGAATCATTCACAATAAGATAAATAATATGCATTCAAAAAATATATAGGGTGAATTTCCATTTCATGCCGTCATTAATTGAATAATAAAAAAACTGAATACTGACTAAAATACATTTTCAAGACTCCAAAACTAAAATAACATTAGGTTAAAAATAATAATAATAATTAATTTTAGTTTTGATGCATAATAAACAAAAATAATTCATAATAAAATAAATAAACATACAAATGTTTAAATTACAAAAACAAAAAAAAAGTGACTAGAAAAAAAATCTTCAAAAGGGACCTGAATCATATTTAGTACGTTTTTTTTTTTTTTTTTTGAGCCAGTATGCAACCACTTAGCAATATGCTGAAAGCAACACCTTGCTATCTCTGACAGCATGCTAGCATCATTGTGGAGTTTTGCATGGGTAAACACCAGTCACATTTTCTTCAGAAAATATTGTTTTTGAAAAAGAAAAAAAAAAAGCTTTGTAAATGCAAAGTTATATAATTTCCACTTGAGGCAACAAATCCTGGATATATAATTCTTGTGGGAGTCGTAATAGCCGGACTGTTTACCATTTGCTGTCAAAACGATAAACAACCCGTGAAGATTGTCTAGAAAAATGTGTCATATTTTAACAGTCACAACAGCCGTGTATCTCCCACTGTCACAGGAAAAAGCTCCGACATTACCTGCTTTCTTAAACATGAAGCCACAACGATAGGGAACCATTTGACAGGCAGATGAATCGGTGTGTATGTGGGTGCCGTGTGTTTGTGTAGGTGGCCGTGATAGAGTATGTCACTTCTGCTGACAAGGAGCGTTCAGTTCATTTCTGTTCTTCCAATACTGAATTTACAAATGCTGAAGTGTGTGTGATTGATGATCATGAGATACTGCAGACCTGCCATCAATCTCCAAAGGTCTCGTTCTGTTTGACACGCGAATCAGACCGAGTAACTCTTCGACCTCATGACCCGTCAGTAAAACACCTGTGTCTCTGTGCCTATGTGTGTCAGTCACCTGAAAACAGGGCTTGGTCATGGTGGTTGGGAGCGGCTGGGCTCCGGGTGTGTAGGAGTGCCTTCGGGGTCCTGGAACGGTGGGTGTGACCTTCAGATGAGGAGACTGCGGCGGGTCAACGGTTATCTGGTGGTAGCGTGTCAGTTTTAAGGCAGGCACATAACCCCTTGGGCCTGAAGAAAACAAAAAATAGAAATCTTATGAAGATATTCAAACCTGCACATTTCAGTGTTTCTATTCTGCACACTGATAAGACCAGATTTGATGTGCTTTAACTGTATTTGACCAGCAGATGTCCCTCACAGCATTATCAAAGGCTTGCAACAGCAATTAATGTACTAATGCAAGAATTGTGGTCAATTAACACAAATAGTAGAATTTTGCATATATGTATATATATATATAACCTAATATATAAACATAAAAAAGAAACTATACAAGTTTGTCAAGTTAAGCTTTGAATGTTTGCTTGATTAATCCTTGCTTGAAAATGTAAATTACCAATAACAAAAGTATGTCCACTGACTGATATAATTTTTTTATATCTTAGCATAGGCCAAAATACCTTCATTCAGCTGCAATAAAAAAAACAAAAAACAATTAAATAAAATATTGAATTAAATATAAATGGAAAGGAAAGAAGTGTTTCTGAAACTGGCTGTTGGAAGAGCTGTAATAACCAAGTTACCAACAGAAGTTATGTGAAAAGCAATTGTAGACGATATGTGATTGTTTAAAATAAACTTTCACTACATGTAGTCTAGCGCCACTTTATTCCAACAGCTGCACTATTATTATTACAGCACAACTCCATTATTGTCATTAGACCTCATTTTCCCATTTCACAGATATCACATGCTATCAAAACATCACTGCAATAAAGTAAGTGTAATTTGTATTATCAGATGGTTTATATTTGCTTTAAAGCAAATGAAATCAGTTTGGTCGGATGGATTTTTTGATGTATTAGAGCAAGTATTATCTGTATTTTCAGATAAGTTTTATTGAGCATTAAAGTGAGAGTAAACTATTATCAGATAGTTTGTAATTTGCTATACAGAGTGTGAATGACCCCTTTAAGTTCATAAGGGCTTATATAATAAAAAAAGATCTTTTGTTTGAATTTCATTTAAATATGTTACAGTATATTCTTGGTGCAAACAGGAATTTAGGTCCATTTGTATGCATTATATAAGATTATTTTATGGAGCAATCTTGTTCACACAGTAACACCAGCTCAGTTGTTTTTAACTGGAATATGACTTATTTCTCCACATGCCAGTTTTACCTCCTGCATCAACCAGCCAGCGGCGACGGTCTCCTCGCGTGTCCATCTCACTGACGACAGCTACCAGCTCTCCCTTGTTGAGGGTCAGGTCAAGGTCACGGGTGCCCACCACAGGGCCTGTCAGCTGGTAGATCTTTTCCGAGCCGTGTTTGGCGGTCAGAGCCTTGAGACGCTGCTCACACACGGCATTGAGTGCCTGAGATGACGCAGACAAGAATCAGAAAACCCTAATTCCCTACTTACTCATACTTATTGTGAAATTACATAGAGCAGAATAAATGACATTTAAAATGCAAGTGTACATGAAATGAGTAGCAGTGCAGTTGTGGTTAATCGGATGGTAGTTGATCCGTACGGACCAAGCCCCACGGTTCGAAAAAAAACAAAAAACAATTAAATAAAATATTGAATTAAATATAAATGGAAAGGAAAGAAGTGTTTCTGAAACTGGCTGTTGGAAGAGCTGTAATAACCAAGTTACCAACAGAAGTTATGTGAAAAGCAATTGTAGACGATATGTGATTGTTTAAAATAAACTTTCACTACATGTAGTCTAGCGCCACTTTATTCCAACAGCTGCACTATTATTATTACAGCACAACTCCATTATTGTCATTAGACCTCATTTTCCCATTTCACAGATATCACATGCTATCAAAACATCACTGCAATAAAGTAAGTGTAATTTGTATTATCAGATGGTTTATATTTGCTTTAAAGCAAATGAAATCAGTTTGGTCGGATGGATTTTTTGATGTATTAGAGCAAGTATTATCTGTATTTTCAGATAAGTTTTATTGAGCATTAAAGTGAGAGTAAACTATTATCAGATAGTTTGTAATTTGCTATACAGAGTGTGAATGACCCCTTTAAGTTCATAAGGGCTTATATAATAAAAAAAGATCTTTTGTTTGAATTTCATTTAAATATGTTACAGTATATTCTTGGTGCAAACAGGAATTTAGGTCCATTTGTATGCATTATATAAGATTATTTTATGGAGCAATCTTGTTCACACAGTAACACCAGCTCAGTTGTTTTTAACTGGAATATGACTTATTTCTCCACATGCCAGTTTTACCTCCTGCATCAACCAGCCAGCGGCGACGGTCTCCTCGTGTGTCCATCTCACTGACGACAGCTACCAGCTCTCCCTTGTTGAGGGTCAGGTCAAGGTCACGGGTGCCCACCACAGGGCCTGTCAGCTGGTAGATCTTTTCCGAGCCGTGCAAGCCCCACGGTTCGGCACGCATGTGATCCGCGGATTAATTGCTAAATTTAACCATAATAGAGTATAAGTTTATAATTTGTTCGTATTTACACAAGCAAGCGAATTTTAAACAATTCCAGAGAGAAAATGCGAAAGGGAACTCGATTCGTTGCTCGCGCGCTGTTCTCTACGCGCACAGCCGCACACACACACGAAGCGCGCCACGCACACGCGTTTCAGACAGTGTTGCCAACTGCTTTCAATTGAAAGTAGCTAAAACTGGTAGCTAAATATCACTAGATGACATCACAATGGCAAATTCACTGATCTATATAAAGATGAACGTAGATCAGTGGGATGTGATGTGTATCATTATATCGGATCCGTGCATCCGGTCTTAGACAGACAGCGGCCTATAAATACTGCTGCTGTCATTAATGATCATTAAACAACAAAACAGCTGTGATAAAAATCTATATTTAATTCATACAGTGAACACTATGCAGTGTTATTTTCCCTAATTATTACATTTCTGTACTTATTTTATTTGTAACACATTCTGTTGTACCTATGCTGGTAATTTGTGTATTTGTTCTTATTTTTTATCTGGCGGTTCTCTTGTCTCTTTAATCATGTTTAAACTTTCTTAGTTAATCTAGTAGTATTCGCTGTGGTATCAAAGAAGTACTTCGCTTTAAGTAATAAATGGAAAGCAAGTTAAATTGAAATATTTTTCTTTTCTTGCTGATCCGAAAAATGATCCGATCTGTGGGCCAAAAACCGTAATGTGATCCGTTGAACCACTAAAGTGCAGTAATTATAGTGCTGGATCACTCTGAACTGAGAAGGGAAGTGAACACGAGAGCATGATACTCTAAGGATTTGCATCTGTGATCTACATTCTGATCCCTGTCAGCAAACACGCAGTACTTGTGAAGATTACACAGCATCTCTCTGTTTGATCCTCCTGCCTTTTCCTTAAACTCATCAGGACTGATGTCTTTATGATGGCAGACATGATATTGATGAGAATCAGTCACTGAGACTCTGGGAAATGACATCTGTTTGTTATTAGCTGTAGTGATGTCCATGACATGATATAACATGACATTACAGACAGAGAAGTCATACCAGCACACAATATTAATATTGCTCTGAAATATGAAACATGACAACGGTGCCGTCTCGGTTTATGCTGTCAAAAGAAGAAGAGATTAAAATTTCTACATGAATCATAATTGACCCTATTTTATCTACTAAATGCTCCTGGTTTTAATATGCATTATTCATCAGTGCAAATTGCTCTAAGGTTGCTTTAATAAACAATCGGTTCTCATATTCTTCTCTCAAACAGCTTTTATTTTCTGATATTTAATCTTGACCCATTTCATTTGTCCAATGATATTACTTTTTTTTTTTTTTTTCAAATCTTAGAATAGGCAAATATTTTCACTTTCTTCAGTTGCCTGCATTAAATAAATAAATAAATAACAAACCAATCAATTCCTGATGGATAAACTCAAGCCCCATCCCAAACACATACAGTACACTACCATTCAAAAGTGTGGGGTTTTAAGCATCAAATCAGCATATTAGAATGATTTCTGAAGGATCCCATCCCAAACACATACAGTACACTACCATTCAAAAGTGTGGGGTTTTAAGCATCAAATCAGCATATTAGAATGATTTCTGCAGATCATGTGACACTGAAAACTGGAGTAATGATGCTGAAAATTCAGCTTTGATCACAGGAATAAATTACATTGTAAGCTGTATTAAAATAAACAGTTATTTCAAGTTGTAATATTTCATAATATTACTGTTTTTACTGTGTTTTTGATAAATAAATGCAGCCTTAGTGAACATAATTCTTTCAAATCAATACAAAATCTTACAGACCTCTAACATTTGAACAGTAGTATATTTCTCATAATTTCATTTATAATATATGAGAGTTTAATTATTTTGATATTAATCTAAAATGTGGGTGATATTAATAATAAAGAATCAGTAGATTCAGTCTTTCTGACCGGTAGTATATATTCAAAGTAATTTGCATTTGAATTTGACTAAATGTTTAGGCTGTTTAGGGCCACCCATAATACAGTGACCCCAGGACATAACATATTTTATTAAGGTATGTTTATAATTAATGATAGACTGATGCAGAACACATGAGGGCTAAACTATATCAAGATGAATGAATGGCTGTGGTTTTATTCCAGCACTGTACACAGGCACCAAGGGGAACCAAACTGTCCCGTAGGAAGACGTCTCCACCCGACAACAGTGTGTCTCTGTATTGAAACTGACCTGCACAATGGGAGCATTGAGCTCATCCTGAACACTCTGACACAGGCTCTCCATCCTCCTCGAACCCTCCAGCACTGAAGTCTCTGCCCACTTCCAGAACTCGCCATCCTCCAAATGACTGTGTGGGAGCTGCCCGGAGACAGAGAGCAATTCATAAACACTGCCAGCCTGCAAACAGCTAAATTTAATAACACTTTTCCAAGCACATGCTTGCGGTGCCGTTCAATGGTGGATTACTGCACAGAATGTCCAACATTTTCTGAAACTGATGGGTATTCAAGTGTAACTAAAATCACGAGGATGAGACCTACATGACTGTGAAGGAAAATCTCAAGAATCATATGAAGAACAAGTAAAAAAAATAAATAATAAGAAGAAGAAGAATAAAAAAATATTTTGCATGAAAAAGAAAATAATAAAAATTGTTTTGTACCATTAAGATTTTTTGTAAATATTTATTAAATTGCAAATTTATCTGGCAGTATTTGTAATGTATTTAATTAATTTGTATTTAATATACACACACACACACACACACACATACATTTGACTAAAATGTTCATATTTGTTTTATGCTATAAAGGTCTGATAACATTTTTTAAAATTTCAAATAAATAGTCATTTTTAGAGATTTCTATTTTTTAAATGTATTTATTTATTTTGCAGAAAATGACAATTGGTCAAAATAACAAATCTTTTAATTTGTTGTGATTGAAAATCAAGGTTATTCCACCAAATATTGATTTCTTAACTGAAGTTAAAACCATTGGTATTGTGTTGTCTAAAAATGAATATAAAAATGTCTGAAAACATGGCATATCTTTTTTGTTATTTTGACCAATTGTCATTTCATGCCCTAAATGACAACATTTTTATTTAAAATTTGGAAGAAATGTCATCAGTAGTTTACAGAATAAAACAAAAATTACATTTTACTCAAACACAGTCATTTTCAAGTCTTTAGAATGTGCTTGAGTCGACTTTACAGAGTGGTTCGACTTTCCCATTGTCAATACAAGATCTCAGCCAAAAACTAATGCAACTCTTGATGAAAATTAATGTTGTGATGTTGCAAACAATGCAAAAAAGAATGCACAACGTCATCAAAGTTAAAGGCACTCCAACTAAATATTAGAGTGTATGACAGTGTAAAGTCAACTCCAGCACATCTCAAAGACTTTCAATGCGGTTTAGGTCAGGACTCTGTGGTGGCCAGGCCAATCTCTCACAATTTGGGTCCATTGAATCTTGATATTGTCATCCTGAAGTATGTCTTCTGACAATGTTGTTTGAATACAACATGCCAGAAACATATTAATCACTGCAATAATGATTAAATTCTAAAATCTCAAGTATTTGCTTATTTGAATCCAGATGGCGACTTTTTTTTGACCAGGCAGTGGACATTTTGATTCTCTCTAGAATTAGGTACTGTAGAAATTGAATATTCACCGGTTTATCTCTAAAGCTCACTGGATTTTGTCCTCAACATTCAGTAAAACCTCAGTATTTTAGCTTCTTCTGTAAAAAGTACCTGATGGGTGAAGCTGGTGGCCAGCTGCTCCATATCAGCCGCCAGGTCTCTCTGCAGGCAGCTGAAGGCTTCTAGCGTGGCCCACAGGAGCTGCAGGGCTTTGCTGTTGAACTGCGGCAGCTCGGTCAGCAGGAGAGTGTTGATGGTCTTGTAGGTGTTCGCTATGGCTTGCTCCTCAAAGTTCAGGTTACTCTTCTCCTCGATTAGCTCATAGTCCAGAAGCTTGTCCTGACGTTTGCGGATGAGGTTACGTGGTCCTGCCATCAGTTCCCGCAGTGAGCTCAAGGGCTTAAAGACTAAAGTCTTCAAACGCTCATCCTGTGAGCGAGATGTACAAAGCAGGTTCAGAAGGCAAGATACCAGAGATGTTTAATCAATTACTATTATAAAAAAAACAAGTTACATATAGCGCTATAATGCATAAACTACTGTTGTCTCCTCAAATATGATGCATACCATTAAAATGGGTGTTGTAAACCATTTCAACCTTAATGTCAATGGCTGGTAAACAGTTAAAAGATCTTGGCAAATTTTGTACCCTTACATGATACATGGTGTTTTTGCAGCAGTATTGGTTCCAGCAGAATTAGACACTGATGTATGGAGAAATACTAACGTGGCGGACCACAGGGAATAAATACTGTCTCATGACAAAAGCTGTGACAAATGTCGGTGTTCCTGACTTTAGTCAGACATGCCATATTTAATTTGACATGTACAAAAACGAGGCAGTGAGGGATAGAGGTACAGTGTGTTACACAGCGCTGCAGGAATGAGTACTAAAGCCTGGAAAGGAGTTAGCAGTTTTGCACTTCCAGTTCCATCACCCTGAAGTCAATGGGATTTTTGATTAAATTAGTTTAAGTTTGATTTTCATTAAAGTTTTTGGTTAAATGTCTGAAATAAGGTCTGTAACACAAACTCAAAATAATTTCACACAGAAATAATTTTACAACATAAAATAAATCTGTATCACCCAACTCATGACTTGAGTTGGTCTTGAAAAGGTGGCAGCTAACAAGTGGCTTAATGTGACAAAAAGAGGTTGTTGGCGACATTAAACGTCATCACAGCAAACAGGTAAACTCATCTACTCACTAGTCTGCTTTTTCATCTTCATGGTGTTTAAAATTACAAAATCACACTCAAACTATTCTAACTAAAACTCTCCAGCTTGTTATTAAAGCTTGAAAGAATTGTTACTTAGTGATAGTGATGTCAGCAAAATATATAACACTGTTCTAGTGGTTTTTGGATATTTTAATAAAAAAATCTTACATATTGTGCCTTTAAAGTCATGAGATGGTAGTTTAGTTGGTTTATAGCATAACTTCAGCTTTTTACTTCTAGCAATTGTAGTTAGATTTCAAAATTGTACTTAGACTTCAAAAAAAGTGGTGTTTATTTGTAAAGATTATTTTGATAAACAAAATATGTACGCATCATAATTGTTTGTTGGTCACAGAGCTTATTTTCTGCAATAAGCCAAAAACCAATGGGGAAATCCTATTGCCTTTTTGTCTAGGGAACCAGGGTCATCCTAATTTCCAGGCTGGCCAACAAAATAATTTTTTTTTACAAAATTACATTACAAAAAAAAAGAAGAATGAATTCACCCTTCGCCAGCAGTTTGATTGACAGGCGATCTGACCAATCATAACAGTGAATCTGCCATTATGTCCGACAAACAAACCAGACAGGAGAGTAGATTAAAGTCGGTGGACTTGAACTTGAAAATGGCGTGTATTGACGTCTTTCCGTGGTTGAAACAAGATACCTTCTGATGTTCATTCATGTTTATTTCGTGCTATAACTAGTAAAGAGGAAGAGGTTTGTGTGCCGCCGCTACAGCGATCTGTCACCACACATTAAAGAGCCACAAAATGGTATTTATTGTTTGAATTTCTTAAAAAAAAAAAAAAGACAAAACTTGAAAGCTGAGACTTTATTTCAAACCAAAAGTAACCTGCTCTGTCTTGTCTGTCAGCGCGTTGTCAGTGTCCTCTTTGCTTCGCGATGTATTTTTCACTGCGTGAGAACATGATGTGTGGCGTGAGAGCGCGATGGCTTGTCGGACGAAACAACAGTCGATTGTAAATCTATCACTCACAGGCTTGTTTCATTCACACCAAATTAAATAACTAAAGTCTTATACTCATTTTTACTGCAAAGCTGTGAAAGCCCGGAGCTGAAGATTTTAAGTTTCTCCCAAAAACTTAAAGTTGCAGTAAGCGATTTCTGATAAACGCTGCTGATATTATCACCAAAACAAACACACCCCTACCTTGATAGCTCCGCCCCCAAATTCACAAACATGCTATGCAAAACAGGCACCTCCCCCATCAATAGTGGACACACCCCTTACTGGTGATTTACTACAAGTGTGTTTTGGTGCTCGGTCCGATCTACTTTTAACAGCCTTTCTCAGAAAACCCCTTACTGCACCTTTAATCGGCCAAAGGAACAGCATCTTTATCACTAACTATAGTTATTATGTCTAAAGGATGGAAACTGCAATCTGCTTAAGGTCTTACATATGAGGGGTAGATCCACTGTCTGAGTGCCACTGTGATTTCTTTAGAGAACAAGGCGGTTTTCTCTCCTTCCAGATCAAGATCTGCTTCCTCTGGTCTGCAGCTGAGGAACCTCTGTACACAGAGACAGAGCTCAGATGGTTAAATAAATCTTTACAAACACTTCAAGTGTGCAACCATCATCTGAACCTCACAATCTTCAGTAACCCCATCCATCTGCCCTGGGATCAACCCTCCTACAGATTTTCCTTTCATTAAGCAGGTGGAATAACAATGGAAAATGTTTAAGAGGTTGATCCACAGGCGTACTGGCTTCACACTGAGGGAACACCAAAACAAATGAGAGGATCAGCTCTTTTTAAGTTTTTAACTATACTCATTAAGAGTAAGAACGCTAAATCCAAACCTGCAGATGGTGGAGATAGGCCTCCAGGTTATCATGAAGCTCTGAGACGCCCCTCTCCAGGACGAAGAAGAAGCCAGCAAGGGCATCGAATTCTTCATCCTTTAACTATGATGGGATAGAATTACAAAGTATAAATTGAGAAATTATTGTAAAAATATTTCATGTAACAATAGTGTCTGAGGCTTTGTGGAAACAATGTGGTTCTTTCAACATGCCAAACATTTCTGTTCCTTTATTTACACTAAGCATTGTTTTTAGGCAGTTACCTTTTGCACCATTCCTGTCTCATGCTTTATGTACTGGCTGAACCGGGCCGTCTTCTTGGCAATGCTGTGGCCACTCAGCCGATTGATCTTGTCCTTGATGGTCAGGTTCTCTGTCTTCTTGTATTTGTCAGCTGTGACAGTAAGAGAACGAGAATAATGATGCAAATCGACTCACCTCAACTTTATTCATGTCTCTGTGCTGATGGATTGGCATGTTCTCACCGACTTCACGGAAGCGTTTGTATTCATTGATCCTGCAGTTGATCTGGACCGCAGTGTGAGCGGTGTGCTCCAGTTTTGGGTAGGCAGGGTGCCCGGGGTCTGTGTGTTTCTGGATGGTCTGGAGCAGCAGTGGGTAACGGGCGATCCTCTGAACTGGCATCACCAGGAAGAAGCTCAGAGTGGATGCATTCACATCAGGACTGAAGACAGACAAGATTAGGGATCAAAAACGACAGGATTGTTGGGTAACACACTCGTTTATTTGTCTAGGACTCATTTTGCTCTCAACAGTGTTCAATTTATACACAACCTCGGTAGGGTGTTGTTCATGAACTTACGCAGATGACTTGACGCTTCGGATCATTTCCACCCACAAGGCCTCTTTCTGTTTGTAGCTGTTCTCTAGAGCAGTGATGTTGTTGTAGTTGGCAAGATACTCTTTATAAGCCATCTCTATATCTTGAGACAGACTCAGAAAATAGTCACCTGAGAAAGAATAAGATCATTTATAATATACAACAAGATTTACATCTTTTCTAAACAACATACGCTGCTGTTCAAAAGTTTGAGGTCAGTGTTTAAAAAAATATTTATTATTCAGCAAGGACACATTAAATTGATCAAAAGCAACAATAAAGACATTTATAATGTTATAAACAATTTATTTCAAATAAATGTTGTTCTTTTGAACTTTTAAAGTTGCCATTCTTTTAAAAAAAATCTTGGGAAAAACAAATCACAATTTCCACAAATTATTGAGCAGCACAACTGCTTTCAACATTGAAAATAATCATACATTTTTATTGAGCAGCAAATCAGCATATTAGAATGATTTCTGAAAGATCATGTGACACTGAAGACTGGAGTAATGATGCTGAAAATTCAGCTTTGATCACAGGAATAAATTACATTTTTAAATATATTCAAATAGAAACCATCTATTTAAATATTTTAATAATATTTCTAAATATTACTGTTTTTACTGTATTTTGTTCAAATAAATGCAGCCTTAGTGAGCATAAGAGACTTCTTTCAAAAACATTTTTTTTTTTTTAATCTTACAAACCCCAAACTTCTGAACAGTAGTGTAAGCGTATGGTTATTTAGACTGTCAAGTTCCAAAAAGGACATAAATTGAAACATTCTATACATCATCATTACCATCTTGAAATTCAAGTTCTGGATTCTTCACTCATGAGCTCAGGGGTCAAAATATTTTGACCTGTGGGTGGGCATGACACATAGACAATGTGACAAGTAAACTGAAAGTGAACCAGAAATTCCAGCCTGTCTGGCTGTACTCACAGAGAGTTTCCAGGTATTTCGGGTCACTGTGACGTATCTGTGTCTGGTTGAACACATGGCAGGTTTGCTGAAAATTAATTGCATTTTTCAGTTTAGAGGCCATGTGTTAAATACAGCTTTAACAGAACTAACTGTTATATTATCTGATTAGATTGTTAATGTTTATATTAATATAAGAATTATTTCAGTCTATAACTGGACATACTGTTTTTCCACGCTATTCTAAAAACTTCCAAGTTAGTTTTTCTCCATTTGCGCTCAAGACTACGAGTTTCTT